CCCTCCCCCTTTACTTATTTTTCGAGACAGGGTTTCTCTGTGTGGCTTTGGAGCCTGTCCTGGGACTCACTCTGTAGCCCAGGCTGGCCTTGACCTCAGAGAGATCCGCCTGCCTCTGCCTCCCCAGTGCTGGGATTAAAGGCGTGCACCACCACTTTCTGGCTCTGTTTGCTCTCTCAATTCTCAGTTTCTTTCAATCCCATTCTGTGTGTGTGTGGGGGGCATTGCAACCCAGCCGACTTTTATGAAGGATGTTTGGTACCTATGCCTAACAGTCTAGTGATGTCACACATCAATGAGGAACTCAAACCTTCAGTGACTTCCTATTGCCAAGCTTGCTCGATATTCAACATGCCCCATAATGTAGCTTTAATTTTAAAAATGTCAGTCTGATACCTTTCAATCTTTAATATGCTCTTAGCAAATGAAATGTAGCTGTTCTTTAAACGAATTCACTTATTTTTCATGTATATAATTTTTATAGTATTTCACTCCCTGGAAGGTGCAATATTTTTTTTGTGTGTGTATTTTCAAAAGAGAGACCACTTGCCAAGCCAGACCTCAAATTACCTCAACTAAAGTGTCCAGTGTTTGTTTGAGGCCGTTTCTGATGTATCCTTGGCTGATCTTGACCTTGCTGTATAGCCAAGACTGCCCAGTGACACTTGAACATGGAAGGATTTTTACTCCCCCAGCTTCTCTTTGGGTAACCATTTAAGGGGTACAATATACAACCACAGTGTTCTTAGTGGGACCCTGACAGCATGTGCTTCTTGGAGGCGGTAATGAAAGGACAGTTTGTACAAAACCCAGCAAAGACGTATCAAGTCCGTACTATTCTATGATGGAGCAAGTCCTCCTTCTTATGGTCTATGGGGAAAAGCACAAACTTTATAGCCATCAAGCAAGCAAGTCAATTAAACAACCCAGGATCACCTCAAGCTCTGAATGAGCAGTGAGGGAAGTTTTCCTCTGACTGTAATATCTGAGATGAGATCTCAGTCAGTGATAAGAGCTGAGGACAAGAAAGTCAGAAGAAAGGGCAACCGGAAATGCCATTGAGCTGTGCTTGAAGGCGGTGTGGAGGTCTGGAAACATGCAGAAAGTTGTGGCTAGAAGGTGGTGGGCAGAGAAAAACTGTGAAACGAGGTGGCAAAGACCTACCTTGAAGGTCCAAAGAAGCCAACACAGCAGAGAGTACTTCCCTCAAGGGCCTTATGCCAAGAGTAACATGACCTAATTTACAAAGGAAAACGATCTCTCTGGCTGCTTGGCAGAAAATGCATCAGGGTCAAGAGTGGAGACAAGATGAATTGGAAGACTACATGAGATAACAGTAGCTTGAATTTGGTGGGAGGCAGGGTGGGGAGAAAGAAGGGGATCCATTCATGGGCTCCATCACATTAAGCCGAGTTCTGTGAACATGGCAATGCTCGGTGTATGTGCCTTGATGGATGTTTAAGACTTCAAAACCAGTTTTGCATTCTAAGTTTCTACTTTGATTTTTTTTCCCCCTCCTACTTTAGTTTACATGTTGCGGCTTACTATACTGCTTTGCTATTCGGAGAAACAGAGCGAGGGGGATTTCATATTTAGGAAAAACACTGTTGATACTGTAATGCAAAGCTCGATAAAGAATACAAGTGATAGTGGAGGGTCAGAGCGGAAATGACGCAAAGAAACAAATGATTTGAAACAAATGGAATAACACCGGGGTCTAAATCTGGGGCAAAACAAAAGGGCAAACACAGACTCGATGTTATTTCAACAAAGCAAAAGAATAGTCATCATGAGTCTGAGCCCAGTGCAGTGTGTAGCTGAGCAAAAAAGCAAGAGGCTCTCCAATAAACATTAGCCGGAACACTGTGTCTATGCAGAAGACGTGGCAATCAATTTCCTTCACAAGTCAAGACTTCTCAGTTTTGACTGACTTTTCTCTCAAAGTATGGGCTCTTCCTTTGCTCCCTTTTATATGATACATTTCCTGATTAATGAGCTTATCAACAATGACTACGAAGGAATGCTTACACAGTTCTAGAACTCGATAAATGACGTGTTGATCCTCAGGTAGGACTCCTGAAGCACGAGCTCCCATTGTGTCTGCATGTGTCTTCCAGGACACTTAGCATGCCGTGAGAAAACAAGACCAGTTCTTGCCACTTTCCACCGAAAACGCTACATGGCCCCTGAATTGTGTGAAACTTGGCCCCAGTCAGTGTCAAAACTGGCTGAAATCTGTATGAAAGGCTGTCTGGGTTTGTCAAAGTAGTTCGTGAACTTTGGCCAAACTTTCTCGGCTCCTGGTCCAAGACTTAGTTTGTAATGCAACGTGAAACCACGTGGATTTCAGGTGGTGTCAGGTTTCACCTTGGAAATTTGGCCTCGCTTTCTAATCAATCATCACTTTTAGTAACGATGAAAGCCAACACACCTTTCTGGGAAAGAAGACAGCATTGACTGATGACAGCTAGGCTGTGAACCGCCCCCACACTTCCTCTGCCAAAGGAACACTTCTCAGAACGGGGACTTTCCCTCTTATATGCAGAGGCCAAGCTGAGGGATTCTGATACTGGGTGTAGAAAGACATGCTACTCAATGCAGGGAGACCAGCCATGTGAAATATCACCACCCACAGATCAAGGGGCTCCCATCTCATCATTTGAGGCTATTGTGGGGTCCATTCCATTCCCACCCATGACAGTAGATATCGTGCTGCTCAATCTCCCGGATCACTGATGATGAGCGCTTAGCTTGGAGGCCGTCATTAACTAGTATAACTGTCATGAGGACCCTGCCCGCTCCGAGGTATCATCCTTGAAGGAAAGCGAATCCAGGCACCTTCATCCAGCTCTAAGGAGCATGAGGTAAACTTTCCCATCTGCATCAATTATGTATTTTGGAAAAAAAAAGCCTTCTACAGTATTCATAAATTCAATAAATACAGTATAGTTTACAGATAGACCTCCATAGTTTCTGCTTTCAACCTGAATATTTTAAACGTGTGTTTCCACTGTAAAAAAAAAAAAAAATCCTCTCTTCAACCAAATCCTCGCTTTTGTGCGTAGTGACATGAGAAAATTGAGAGGTATGTCTGAACAGAGCCACTACATCATTGGAACAGTATGTCTGAACATTTGAGTAATGAGGCGCAGATGTGAACCCAAGGACTTGGCACTACCAAGGCAACAAGAAAGCATTTGCCATGGGTTATGATGGTCGAAGGGGCCACATTGGGACAGGGAAGAAGCGGCCCTCCCTTCACCCACAGGGTAAAAGAAGTGTTACACCTTTTATCTGCCTTACAAATCTGGAGAAACAAGAAGTCCAAACAAGTGTTATTCAAACTTCCAAGGAAGGACAAATATGTAAAATGCAACAGTATTTTTTATCTGTGCTAGAACATATTTATGCAATAGCACGAGAAGTTTCATCAGAGGCAAACGCCAAATTCAAGAGAGCACCACATGGCCTTTATGTTGCAAAACAACGTGCACACATCTAAAGACCCCAACGGTCACTGGAAAGGGGGCTGTTGGATGGCTTCATTGTCTCTAGAATGTTCTATTTGGAATCAAGCTACGATAATGCACAAGATACACATGTTCATTAGTAGGACATTTTCTGTTTATGGGTGGGTTGTCAATTATATCAGTGTTACTAATTCATGCCGTGCAAAGGGTAAGGATAGTTAGATGTTTTGAGAGGGACAATCATTTCCCACCCAAGACAACAAGTGCATAACTTACCCGAGGCCCCTGATCACCTTGTTCTCCCTGGAGAAGAGCAAAATAAGATAAAAGCGTTACATAATGCTTAGTAAAAAGGTCTAAACACACCACAGATCATGCCAATATCGATGTCCAGTAATTTCATTTATGCATTTTCTTACCTTATCACCTTTTGGACCAGGGGGGCCCTGGAAAAAAAAAGAGAAAATATTAGATTTAAAAGGATCTGAATAAACCTGCCGGGTCAATTGAAAGATTTATGTCAAATGCAGAAAGCCATACTTGTCAACAGGTTTCTCAAAGAACTTTAGTTTCTAAATTATAATTGTATTATAATTAGGAAAAGAAATCAGTAGGTGAAGTATGTACATACATACATATGTATCTTAGGTATCAAATGTGCTAAAGGAATTGTGAAAACTCAGTATACCCGAGCTAAGCAGCAGCACAGTACTAACAAGGCAGGCGCTCCTGCTCTGATCGCTGTCAACAGCCTACAATAGTCCTTCTTTGAATTCTGACAGCAGAATTCACCGGCCTTCACTCTCTATCTAAAGGAAACTATACAGCATATGTCTGGCATGTTTTGTTCAACACTTGTGAAATTCATCTATAATTTTGCATGTAGCCATAGACCTCTTCTTACTGCTTTATAAAATTCTGTATGTGACTTATTTGCTCATCCTGCTGTTGACGGTAATTTGACTCTAGGCATTATAAATTGCTGCTATGAACACCTTAATGTAACTGTTTGGGTGAAACACCAGTGTGCATTTCTGTTGGGTCTGTATCTAAGGAAGGTAAAAGAGTACATTCGTTTTCACTGTAGTAGATACTCCTAAGTGGTTTCCCAATGTGGCACCTATAATTTCTATGCTCAGCTTCAGTATGTTTCAGATCATCTCTAATGCTTGATATTTTTCTCATTTTTAATCTTGTTTTTGTAGGATATAGTAATTTAACTTTATTTTATAGTTTCTTAGCGATCAATTGAACATCCTTTTAATATACCTATTCAATATGTTACATTTTTTTCATAAAGAATTATCAGCGTTTGCCTTTATTTCACTAAATTATCCTATTGATCTGTTAGAATTTATTATATATTATATGCCACATATATGCATATACAGAGATTTAGAAATCCTTATGTATTCTGAATGTGTTGTTTGAGATCTGTATTTATTAGAAATATTTTCCCATGCTTTGTTCTGCTTTTACATTCTGTTGAGATGTTCTTTGCTGTTGTTACTGTTGTTTGGTTTGGTGGTGGTAGTGCTGGGTCTTGAACTCAGGGCCTTGAGAATCTATGTAAATGTTCTATTACTGAGCCACATCCCCAGTTCCTACTGGAGCATCTTCAATGAATAGATATTGCTAATTTTGATAAAAGTCAATACAACGTTTTTCTCTTTATTGTTATGCCTGTAGTCAGCTAAAGAAATCTATAGCTATTGGACATCATGAGGAGATCTGTTTATTTTATAACTGAAAAGGTTTATTATTGCATCTTCATATTTGAGTGTGACTTCATGGAGAACTGATTTTATGGGAGGTGAAGTCAGGATGCTTTTTGTCCCCAGGTGGTTATCACGTTAACTGAACACTGTTAACTGAAAATGGCATCTTTTCCCCATTGTGGTACTGTGTTACCTTTCTCATAAATCAGGTGACCACATGTATACATAACGTTTCCTTGTAGGAATTCCTTGTTGTTGAGAGCCTGTCTATTCTTCCAGTAAGAAATACTATTTCTAGAGGCATAAATTATGCTGTCTATTCTAATTCTTGATAATGAAGTCATATTTTGTGGTTCAGCACAGCCTACGAAACTAGAATGTTTCAGAATTATCTCCATGATCTCTGTTTATAGTGGGGCCAGGACACAAGAACAAGCCTAGGCAGAAAGTAAGGCTAAGGCTCTATTAGAAGGGGCTACATCACTGCTGGTAGGAACACGGGACTCCTGCTCCAACAAAAATGTCACTTTCTGCTCAGGGTCAGCCACAGAGGAGCAGCACTGATGCCCTGTTCTCTCCACAGTTATCTTTGTGTCCCACTAAAGAAATCTCTACCATTGCCACATCACAAAGAGATGCGTCTCCTTATTCTGGGGCAACAACTTTATCATTGTCTGTTTTATATTTGCATCCAAATTCACTGGCACTGATTTTATGTACCATGTGGCTGGCTATCTTTGTTGTGTAGGTAACATGCCTTTTTGGTAAGATCTGTGAGGTTATCCTGAAACCAACGACAACAACATCATGTCTCGTAGTTTGCATATTTTCTCATCAACAAGGAACTGTGAGTTGTTGTTACATTTAATCTTCCTCCAAATGCAATGAAGAATTATGATAATCCTTTAAAAGAGGCCAAAAAATGAAAGTCAGATCTTTCCTATGTGAGGCCTCTTAGAATGAGCTGTCCAGGATTTTAATTCATTCGGCATGACTTTAAATACCAAGACCATGGAGCACAGACACGGAACTTGATTCTCAGAACCACCCACTTGTCTGGTGCCTGCCCTCAACATGCGACTTCTGAAATGGCCCCCGCTGCATATCCCTCCCACTGCCACAGACACCAGCGCTAAGGTGGTAGGTTCTAAATGAGGAGAAAGAAAAGAAAGGGCCGAGCAGGCAGCAGGAGATAGGACTCAGATACTACAATTACCTTCACAAAACCATTTCCTCTTTATCCTCCAGATAGTTTTGTCAATGATTAGAGGGAAGTTAGGAGAATTCTATTTTAGACGTTTTCCGTGAATGTTTAATATACCCATTATTAAAACAGTGAGGAATAAGACACTAAAGCAAAGGATATTTGTGATACCACTGTTGTAAAGGTTGGCTGTTATTTTGGTAGAGCACTGGAGAGCGAAGGGGGAGAGGAACGAGAAGAACCTACTCTCAACGTTCAAGCAAGGCAGTGGGGAGTCCAGCCCTGATTGACGGAGTATATTCACAAGCTGTGTTCAAAGTCTATTTAAAGTCTATCACTGTTCTAACCCATGCTTAAAGGATATGGCAGAAGAGGCTGATCTAGAAAAATGTGCTGTCTACCTCCCACAAAGCTAAGTAGTGTGTGTCTTTCTTTTTTCTTTCAGAGCTGAGGACTGAACTCAGGGCCTTGTACTTGCTAGGCAAGCGCTCTACCACTGAGCTAAATCCCCAAAGCCCTAAATAGTGTATTTCTAAAGTTAAGTACTTCATTGAGGTTAAGTAACAATGACTCCTAGAGTACCTCCAAGTCAGCTGTTACTGTGAACCCTCCCCAGACTCTACCCTTGCCTCTAATTTACCCTCTTCATAACTGTGTCCGTTTTTCTAGTGAGATTTCCAAGGCTGGACCCTCTAAAGGCACTTTGTTCAGTTCTGTGGTGTAACTGGTATCAAAGCCTGCTTGAAATCCCCTTACAATGGGAGCAGAAAGGAATCTTCTAGAAATCCAATGGCCACTGTCAAACCCACACGTGTTGACTAGAGCCAGAGTGGCCTGGGTAGGATGCCTAACTCCCGAACACATGAAAATCTGCATCAAAAACTGAGCAGCAAATACTGCTGCTCAAAAGTGGTGTTTCTGAGCAGACAGCATGGCGTCCTGCACCTGCCGAGCTAAAGACAGCAGCAAAGCCAAGGTCACCCTCTGCGCACAGCTGTGGTGGCTGCTTGGGACGTGTCCCCCCACCCCCCACTCCTGTGCTCAGGGGTGACAGAGGATGTTTTCTTCTACTGCAGCTGAAATCCCGTTCTTTCTAAATTGGGTGCCTTCACTGAAAAGATGGGTTTGGTCCAATGAACCAAGTAGGCTATGACACAGGGCAGTGTTTCTTTTATTATTATTATTATTATTATTATTATTATTATTATTATAAGACATTTTCTATTCATTTTACATACCAACCACAGATTCTCCTGTCTTCCCTCCTCCTGCCCCCAAGCCTCCCCCCCAATCCACCCCCTCATTCCCACCTCCTCCAAGGCAAGGTGTCCCCTCGGGAGTCAGCAGAGCTTGGTACATTCAGTTGAGGCAGGTCCAAGCCTCTCCCCCCTGCACCAAGGCTACGCAAAGACAGAGCAGTGTTTCTAACTTTAGGAGCCATGCTGCTTTTCCAAGTCAAAATATTACAACACAAGAAATTCCTCTGATATCTAACCTTTCCAGTTCAGGTTGGGTCATGAGCTCATTTTTGTCTGATTTTTACAATTGGTTTTAAAAACCCTCATTAGTACTAACTAAAAGATAAGCAGCAATACAAATTAATGGCTCTAATCATTTCACTGACAAAGGTTTGTTAAAAAGAATTTTATTTTATGTGGAGTGTTTTCCTGCATGTATATATATGCACCACATGTGTGCCTGGTGCCCACATTATGGACACTTGTGATCTGCTGTGGGTACTGAACCCAGGTCCTTTGCAAGAGCAGCCAATGAACTTAACCACTGAGCCATCTTGCTGGCTTAATTTGAGAGTATCTGTAAATAGCATTTTGCTATTGCAACTATACTACATTTAACAAAATAATATTTAGGACAGTATCAATAATGGTAAGGTAACTAATCAAAAATCACCTTTGCTTCTAAAACAAAGCTGAGGTCAATGTTAAAGAAACGTGTAGGACTAGTTGTGGGTCACAGCTTTGTGTAAGGCTTTTGGGGGCATGTCTGTCACCTGTCTGGAATGCTGCATAAGGTCCATTCATAAACAGAACTATCATTTCTAATTTTTTTTGTACAATCAGCCTTAGTTACATAAACACTGGAATAAGCTAATAAAGTTTGTGTCTATCATTACACTCAAGATGGAACACTCTTTAGTACATTGGTTCTCAACCTTCCTAATGCTGCAACCCTTTAATACAGTTCCTCATGTTGTAGTGACTCCCAACCATAAAATTATTTTGTTGTTGCTTCATAATTGTAATTTTGCTGGTTATGAATTGTAATGTAAATAACTGATATGCAGGATATCTGATATGCAATCCTCAAAGGAGTCATGACCCACAGGTTGAGAGCTGCTACTAGAATTGTTAGCATGTAACTGAGTTATTACTAAAGTATCAATAAAAGTCAATGGCATGCATGGCAAACTAGCCCCTATTCTAATAGCTTTAAAATCATAATTTATAGTCACTGCTTTTCTCTTTGTCTCAGCTCCTTCATGTGGGTCTTGGCTTACAACTGA